CTTCGGGTGAGTGAAAGTGAAGACGCTGCGCACAACAGCCACAATCCCTGCGCTGCTCGGAACAGGACTGTGCGTCAGAGGCGGAGTGACTCTCACCTCCATCACACCCTTCTCCAACTTCCACCGCCGTCCAACAAGTCATGTCTGAAACACAGCGATGGGCAAGTTTGACGACAACGAGAGGATAATCCTCAACGTCGGCGGCACCAGGCACGAGACCTACAAGAGCACCCTGAAGACGCTGCCGGGGACACGGCTGGCGCTGCTCGCCTCCGACTCGGACATCGACTCGGTGCTGGATCAGCTGCAACAAGTCCCCGGCTTCATCGAGTACAACGCGCGCACCAACGAGTACTTCTTCGACCGCCACCCGGGCGTCTTCGCCTACGTGCTCAACTACTACCGCACCGGGAAGCTCCACTGCCCGGCGGATGTGTGCGGACCTCTGTTCGAGGAGGAGCTCTCCTTCTGGGGCATCGATGAGACGGACGTGGAGCCCTGCTGCTGGATGACCTACCGGCAGCACCGGGACGCGGAGGAAGCGCTGGACGTGTTCGAGCTGAACGTGGACAACGGGGACGAGGACGACGAGATCGGGAAGAGGCTCGGCATCGAGGATGTGGCCGCGGACGGTAACGTCAGCCTGTGGAGGAAGTGGCAGCCGCGGATCTGGAATCTATTCGAGGATCCCTACTCCTCCAGGGCGGCGAGGGTAAGAGCGCGCCGCCGCACGGGCGCTGGGGCGTGCGCGAGCGCACACACACACAGATACACACAGATACACACAATAAAGTGTTTACATGAAGCTCCAAAATATTCTCAGTGAACTCCCACAAACCTGCAGTGGTGTGTGTGAACACAGATCTGTGGTTGTGTGTGTGTGAGTGTGTGTGTGTGTGAGACTTTACTAAAGACTGATCGATTTTTGCATCAGTTTTACTTCACATCATCACCAAAAAACAAACAAACAAAAAATAATTCCGAAAACCCAAAAAGGAAATAATATTTTTTTAAATTAATTTTGTTAATTTTGTTCATTTTTGTTCATTTTCGTTTTGACACAAACAGAAATCTCTCAGTTTTGATTGGCTCTGGAAAATGTTTTGAGTCTTTTATTTATTTTTAACATATAAAAAGTTAAGGTTCATTATTTTAAAATAAAAACCTTTATAGAAATATATTTATAATTTTTATTTTTTGCCCTGTGATAAAAGTCAATATAAACTGGTACACGGAGCAAATACTACTGCAATAACAGATACTGTAACTTTCTAGTACTGTGGAGACAGTACTCTCTGTCAAATATATATATTTATATCAAATATATAAACTGTCATTTGATACAAGTACTACAGTCAAATACAGGAAAGGAAGTTTTACTGCAGTACACTTGTAGTTTGTGAATGAAATATTTATTTGTTTTTAAACCAGATCAGTCACAGTCGGACTGTGGTTGGTCGACTACAGTCGGACTGTGGTTGGTCGACTACAGTCGACAACATTTTTGTCATTTTCCTCTGGAATATCATTTTTTTTTAACTACACTTCTGTGGTTGGTCGACTACAGTCGACAACATTTTTGTCATTTTCCTCTGGAATATCATTGTTTTTTTAAACTACACTGACGTGTGTGTGTGTGTGAATTATTCTCACTGTTGTCAGTGAAACAACAGCCCACCGACATCGAACAGTTGAATTTATTCTCAGTCAATAAATCACGGTGTATCAGGGGTGAGAGTTGCCGCCCGCGTCCGTGAGCCACGGCTTGAATACCAATGGTTGTTCCTTTGAGGTCTCCTCCAGCTGCTGAGGACGGACTCACTGCCTCCTGGCCCAGGGTTGAGCCTCCTTCTCTGGGTGATGGACGGTCAGCCGGGCCCTCGTCAGCTGGAGGACGTGCTGCAGCACAGGAAGTCATGTGATGTCGTAGAAATGGAAGAGAAATGTAACAAGAAAATCAGCCATTAAACAAATGTAGCGTTAGCACAAAAACACAGATACATGTTTTATTACCTTAGTGTCACCGTAGAGTCGGACGTTGTTATTACGTTCTTCTTCTTTAACTGTCAACGTTGAACCTCGTCCTCGGAGACGCAGCCTTGAAGTCGGTCAGACAGACAGACAGTTTTGGTGAAGGTCAGCAGCAGCAGCAGCAGCAGTGTTAGCAGCAGCAGCAGCAGCAGCAGTAGCAGTGTCAGCAGCAGCAGTGTTAACAGCAGCAGCAGCAGCAGTAACAGCAGCAGTAACAGCAGCAGCAGTATTAGCAGCAGCAGCAGTGTTAGCAGTAACAGCAGCAGTAGCAGCAGCAGTGTTAGCAGCAGCCGCAGCAGTAACAGCAGCAGCAGCAGTAACAGCAGCAGCAGTATTAGCAGCAGCAGTGTCAGCAGCAGCAGCAGTGTTAGCAGCAGCCGCAGCAGTAACAGCAGCAGCAGTATTAGCAGCAGCAGTGTCAGCAGCAGCAGCAGCAGCAGTTACAGCAGCAGAAGCAGCAGCAGCAGCAGCAGCAGTAGCAGTGTCAGCAGCGGCAGCAGTGTTAGCAGCAGCAGTGACTCGGCTGCAGAGACTCAGTGAACAAACCCACGGTGGCAGCACCAAAAGTTTGGCCTGTATTCAGTCCTTGTTCAGTCCTTGTTCAGTCCTTGTTCAGTGTTACCTGGCAACCGCCTGAGTGAAGAAGAGGAGTGAGGATGAACCTGGTGGTTCACTGACAGACCTGCAGCTGAGCTCAGTCAGAACCACCCGCTCCACTGGAGCTGCAGACACAACGAAACGTCCAAAAAAACCAAACAGTTGATTTGAACAGTCACATCAGACACAGACCCCCCCGACCCCCCCGACCCCCCTGAACCCCCTTGACCTCTGTGACCTGTTCAATCACCCAGTATCTGTTTCCTCCAAATACAGAGGACTGAAGTGAAGTTACAGCCTCACTGGTGTTGACCTCGACTGAGGGGGAAAAACTGGGGTTGATTTTTATTAAATTCTGTAAAATATATAAAAAAACTGATAAAAACTGTGTGTGTGGAGGCCCCCGAACCACGGGTTTATAACACACACACACTGCTCTTCTTTGTCTCATACACCTCTGTTGTTGACACAGAAAGTGTGTCTGCTGCTAATCTGCTGTTTTACACTGTCACGGTTACCATGGCAACCGCCTCTGGTTCACAAAAAAGATTTGGACGTTTGGTTTTTAGAAGTTAAACTGAAACTGAGACGTGGAGTTGAAGCAGAGAGAGAAGTTCAGGGAAGTCAGTGACTCAGACTGGACCCAGTCAGACCCAGTCAGACCCAGTCAGACCCAGTCAGACCCAGTCAGACTGAGTCAGACTATACATCAGACTAGATCAGATTAGATCAGATTAGATCAGACTAGATCAGACTACATCAGACTAGATCAGACTAGATCAGACTAGATCAGATTAGATCAGACTAGATCAGATTAGATCAGACTAAGTCTAAGTGTTTGTAAACTTTTCTAAACCTGATTTGAGAAAAAATCTTTTCCTTTTCCTACGGTTCAGAGAAATGTGTGTGTGTGTGTGTGTGTGTGTGTGTGTTGGAAACTGGTTGTTAGACCGAGTCAGTCAGTGACCTGATTGGACCAGAACAGCTCCATCAAACCTCTGGGTCAGAAACTACAGGTGTTTTTTGGCCTTGTAATTTCTTTTTTTCTTTTTTTTCTTTTAAAGCTTTTCCCGTTGGTCACAGAGTTATGTTAATGTGTTAATCATTCAAATCATGCAGTTAAAGCAAATCATTATTGATCCCCGTGAGGAACGTCTTGGTATTACACACAATCCTCCCCTTTTATTTGGTTTAAATGACAAAGTAAAAATCATTAAATGGAAAATCTGACTGATGAAAAACCTGGAACCATCTGACCACTGCCTCGGCCCGGAGTGGTCATGTGACCACAGGTGTCTTTCTGGACACTGTTGCTGTAGTCACGCTGTAGTCACGCTGTTCTCTTCTCACTGTCATTGCCGTGGGTTTGAACAGTCAGACACCAGAGAGAAAGACTTGTTGATGTCCCTGTATATTTTTGTATATGTGTAAATATATGTATGTGTGTGTGTGTGTGTGTGTGTGTGTGCTCGTCCTCTGTGTTAATCCGACTGTTTGTCCCTCTCGTGTCTCTGTAGTTTGCCGTTGCTGGATTTGGACGGTAACAAAAAGAACAGTCAAACTGAACTCACACCCACACCTTTTTCATTGCTCATGTTCTGAGGCAGATGTTCTGACTGATGCCTGACTGTAGTGCCCCCCCCCCTCCCCGACACACCTCATCCTCACCCACGCACCCCCCCCTCCAACTTCCTCCCATGAGCCCATCTGAGACTGCGGCTTGCTTTCTGCTACTTAAGAGGTTAACTCCGCAGCCGTCTGGGTGCTGCCTGCCTCCCCAGGCTGCACGCTCAGCCTCTGCCTGTTGTCATGGCAACGTCATCGCTCATCACAACGGCCTGTTTTCATTCAGATCCGCCCGGTTCATGAAACTGGGAGACTTTGAGAACCTGCCCAACCGTTTGCCCAACAGCCCCCCCCGTCCCCCC